TTGACGTGCTCTCTGAAAGCCTGTGATCTGTGTTACAGGTAATTTGATCTGACTTTTCACTGAGAACCGGAGAGTGCCTTAGCCTTCTCATTGGTGTTTTTATCAGTGGTTGAGTGAATTGTAGGTGTCGTCTAAAATTACACTTATATGTTAACAATGCTGTGTCAACCTATAATTGGTATATATATTAGATTTAAACCTAACTGTAATTTAATGGAGTAAGTTGAAATATGTATGCTGTTGGTTGTCCATATAAAATAAATAAATAAATAAACATAATTCAGTACCTCATGTAGATGTCCTACTGAAGTGGTAATCGTAAAAAAACCCCTTGCGCAATATCCACGCGCTTTTGTACTATAAAAAGAATCTCACCATGCTCTGTAAGCAAAGCTGTGTGATGCAAGCCACAAGCGACAGCGATGACGCGGTGGCCACCTGGCACTGCCACGCGAGCCGGAGATAAGGAGCTGACCTAAGGAAATATGAAATATTAAAAATGAACTATTACAAAACAAAAAGTAAAAAAATCAAAACAGTCGCTTGACTGTGATATATCTAGAATAGGAAGGAGAAAAGATTGTGCCAACGCAGTTTTAAGTGGCTATTGGTAGAAAGTTCCCTAATATTTTTAAAGATCCAGGCCCCCACGTGAGATTTTTATCAATTAAAGTACCCAAGTTTATAACACTCACTGGGTGTTAATATGACTTACTCCATCTACATATCCATTTAAATTCATTATTCATGTCATCAATGGCTTGAGGAAGGTGGTCAACACTAGCTTGTGAATAGATTTGTAGATCATCTGCATAGTGGTGGTAGGATGAAGCTAACTGACAGGAAATTGAATTAATAAATATGGCAAAAAGTAAAGGAGATAAAAGTACTGTTGCAGTACCATGTCCAGCACGAAAGCCAGATTGATAAATGTTAAGGAGTTGATTCGTAAGGAGGAAAGTGGATAATTGATTATGGAAAAGGCGTTCTGGGACTTAGGATAGGAAAGGCGGGACCGAAAAAGGCCTATAGTCGATAAAAGACAATGGATTGGCCTTCTTTGGTGAAAGGAGAGACTTGAGCATTTTCCAAATAGTTGGAAATGATGTGCGTAATGATGGGAAGTAGGATAGAAAGAATCATCTTTCGGCTAAAATTGTCGCTACCCACAGCGCTGGACGTTATGAATATACCACTCTTTTTAACATCACAGTCTGTAAATTGAGATAGTGAAAAACACAGAACATAGAGAGAGATTAGAAGTATAATGATATTAATTTAGTATGGGAACCGAGTGTCGCCTCTCCGCACACAAATGCAGATTAGATGAAATGATCATTTTGTTCACTACATGAAAAACCGCCACGCGATAGGTTCGCGATAACATAAATCAAATCCCAAAAAGATACTAAGCTAAGAAATCACACGATTAAAAACAAACTCTAATTCAACGTGATAATAAATAATTTACTTTAACATGAATGTTGAACTGTCACGTGGCTGTATATGGGGATACCAGAAGGAAAAAAATATTTTAAGATTATGCACATTTAAAAACATTGGGGTCATCATTTTATTTGCGAACTATTAATATTAGATTTTGCTGTAACCAAGTGAATACTGAAAAATTAAGGCTTTTCCCTACATAATTTATTAAAATATCTTTTAAAAAACGCAGTACAAAAACTAAGAAAACTTAATGATACACTCTATCGTATGTCTGTGGAGTAATATAATTAAGCGAGGGAAAGTGTAAAAAAAAACAAAAATTAAGAAAACAACAGAATTTTTGTATTAATTACATTAAGCCTAATTTGTATTTTTTCTTACTGGTATCATTCCGATTGTGCATATTAGTGATGTGACATATTAGTTGATAAAATAAGAGCTTTAAATTTTGTTATGAAACAGTTCAATGTAATTCAGTTCGACAATTTTCTACAGTGGTTTGATAGTAATTATTTAAAGCTTTATTCAAATAAAACGAAATACATAAAGTTTGCATTACCTAATGTGAGGCATGTTAATATACTTATAAATGTAAATAGTGAAAAAGTTGAGATGGTGGAATCGACAAAGTTCCTTGGTATTTTAGTATATTGATAATTTGTCAAGTAGACTGAGTTCTGCAGCATTTGCTGTTAAGAAAATTAGACTCTTAACAAATGTTGAAACGGCAAGATTGGTATATTTTAGTTATTTTCATAGTGTAATGAATGACGTATAATCTATTGTTATGGGCTTCTGCGGCTAGCATTCAAGATATTTTTATTCTACAAAAGAGAGCTGTCCACGCTATATATAATTTACGGTCTAGATAATCTCTCAGAGAAATATTTAAAGAAATAAATATTTTGACTGTTGCCTCTCAATAAATCAATGAAAATATTATGTACGCAAGAAAACATTACGATTCCTTCACAAAAAAAAGTAGAAATAAAAATAAACTTGCCATTCCAAGTGCTTGTAATAGCCTTCTTGAATAAAGATATTTTCATTTCATTTCATAATAACTAATATGATCATTACACTAATAAATTGATCATAGCCATGTTTGTTTTACTTTATTATTCTAAGTTTTATATCTGTAATAATAGTAGTAGCTACATTATTAATTGCAACGACTAGACAATAAGGAATCGCTGGTCAAGTATGAGTTTGAAAGCCGTGACAAAAAAAGTTTGAAGATAGACACAAAAGCGATAAGTACGTACAAACGTCAATCTACATATAAAGTCACATCCGTTTGAGACATGCGTCTATAAACTTATGTGCAAATATGGAGCAACAAAAAAACTGATAAAAGCTGTTCTGTGGGCGGTTCTTTAAAGTGACTTTCTTAACTCGATTTCTATAATAATAGTTTCCGATTATGAATCAGCAGAATAAGGTAAATTAAATTGACGCCTAAAAATTAATTTTGTAAATTAAATTCACACCACCAACAATATTACGTTAGTTGAAAACATAATTTTTTGTTTGTATAGATATTATGTTGTTTTGAAATTCATTTGATAGGTTTAGGTCTAAAACAGATAGGGCAAAATTAATTATGTAAACAAGGCAATCCGTTGTAAAGTTATTAGGGAAACTGAAATATAAGTAATGCAAAATAAGTGAAATCCAGTTTCACTAGTTTCTAACAAGACCTATTAGGCCAACTCTTAGCTTTTCACGAAGTTTCGTTTAATTTATGTATTGTTCATAAAACGGTGATATACTTCGTAACTTAGATATTTATAGCACATCAATAATTTTTAATATTTATCTGCGTGTAAATAATTAACCGAATCTTCGTATTAAAAGTGCCTGGACAGTTCATTATTTCATTTGTTCAGTATCAGTTCATCTATAATTTTCCCTTGTAAACAGTATTTTTTAGTTTTATATAATAATGGCATATATTTATCGATAACGTTGTTATGAAATGATGAAAGAAAAGCTCTGAATAAATATGTTTTAGTTATCGATTACGATCCATATAATTAACAATACGATTCCGAGCAGCAGCAGCCTATCGGTACATTTCAGACAAATGGAGGCACAGCACTATTTTTTGCAAAAGTGCACAAAATGATTTACATTGCTGTTTAGTAATGGGGTCAGAAACATTGATGTTGGTTTGAGCAATCAATGTATATTTTATTTAACATTGTGTCAAATTATTACGTTTTTTATATTTTAGCACTAAAATTGTACTTACCAGTGAAAGGAAATGTTTGCATTAGTTAGATTGTATACTTTGCTTTGCTTTTTGCAAGTGATAATAGCACAAAACGGCATTTTTTATAAAAAAAATCTGTAAAATCACCACTCGACGATTGACGAACGACTGGCAAACATAAAACCGAGGAAAGGGCGTCATATGAGTAAAAGCGCATATGCCAGCGACGCGTGCCCCGCCCACTTAATACTTCTATTCTCTCTCTATGTTCTGTGGTGAAAAATATGGATAGTTGGGGCATGGAAGAGATGAGAGAAATTTTAAAGTTTTCAATTTGTGTAATGAATCAAAATTATTCAATTAACAAAAATGTTGATTAAGGAGATTGATATCTAAACCCATAGAATAATTTGTCTGACGTTGTTTACCAATGACCATAGATTTTTAAAAATTCCAGACTTTCGCCGGTTCTCCGTTTTCGATAGAATTATGGATATATTGGCGTTGTGCATTCCTACTCACCTTATTAGTTTGATTGCGTATATTGACGTAATTTTCCCAGTTTGACGCAGTTGGCCTAAACTTATATTTAGTTTTAGCAGCTCTTAATGTCCTCGGTGATCAAAGGAGAAGGACAATGCTTCATCTTAACAGGATGAACCGGTGCATGTTTATCGAAAAGTGTAGTGATAGCAGACTCAAAAAGCTCAAGATTACTATCCACATAATCGCAGCTCAAAAGCGACCAATCGATGTTATTGGCATGGTCACGAAGTTTGTCAAGATCGATACCACAGAATTACGCTAAAGCAAAGCGCGTCTTGTATGAGAGAAAATGAGATCGTGGTATGAGAAGCCATCAGCTGGGAATTGGCTATGTTAAAATCACCCATAGTAATGGTGAGACTATAGGAGGGACAAAGTAATTCTAGTTTGCTTTCTAGGGAATAAAAGAAGTTAATTCGCAATAAGGGGTAATAATAAACGCCTAGAAGAATTTACCTTTATACTCGCATCTCGTTCTGCTTCTGAACTCGCAGCGTGTAATGGCGAGCCCTCGCATTGAGTGAAGCGTGCACTCTCTCTGTCTGCAAGTAATTTTACCGATTAGATAAAATGTAATATCAAATACTAGAAAAAAAAATACAACTTAAATTTATGAGAAGAAGTGATCATACCCAAAATCAGTTTCGGGCCGATGCGCTCAAAAAAATATTAATAATAAGGCTGGGTTTACAAATTTAATAAACATTACTCTATAAAAATGGGTTCCTACTGCATGCTGTGTACTGACCGCCCCGAGTGTCCGATTTAATGGAAGCATCAGTGTCGTCATCTAGATCCGTAACACGTTCACGTCCGGCAGCAGCAAAAGTATCTGCGCATCGTCGGCATACGCCGCAAACACTGCATCCACTGTCACCCTCACCGCAACCACATTTTCTACATGGGTAAATTCGATTAAAAATACACAAAATGCAACATCTCTTATTTATATAAGTACTCGCGTTCATACTGGTACATAAAGATTTTATTTATATCACAGCTTAACCAAACTTGAACTGAACTTTACTAATATTTACTTTAAACTCAATAATTTATAACATGTTTGAGACAAACAACCAATCACGAGTTCTCAATAGACACTGATTAGTTTTGGAACATATAAATTATACGCGACTTAAGCTTAATTTACACCACCACGGAACGCGATGTAAGCGATTTTGTAACGACTTTACTTTTGGTTCGCATTGTATTTTATACAATTGGCATAAAGTTCGTAATGCTATGTACAATCGCTTCCTTTCTAAAGAAAACCTGTCCCAACAGTCGAGGCTTCAATAAACTGATCGTATTACATGTAATTATACTCACTCGCCGGGCAGACGACCCGGCATAGTGGCACAGTGGCATGCGCTCGCAAATCCCGTACATTCTCTGCAAAGTGCGCACACGCGGCAATAATCAGTGTACCAAGCGTGCGCACCACTACATATGCGCACGTCTTCCCTGTTGCTGCTGCTGTGACGACGATTCGAGTACATTTCTAGATAAATGGAAAGCAGAGTTTATTTATAAAGGTACAGGTCAATAGCACGTCAGATTATACAAAACTATCAATTTTCTTCACTTGATTTTATAATACTATATTTTTAAAATACTAAAGGTAGAGTACAAAATTACTAATGAAAATTTGACATATTGTGGTAATCTAACGTGCAGCGTGTGTACATCAAAAAGTTTTATAAAATCGACAATTCTCGCTTACTTAAGTAGAGTTTATTTACAATCACATACAAAACAAATGCTAACTCTAAATAAGAATTAGATGTTCAGTAATATTTTTATCGGAATACCATACTTAAGGCGAGGATAGTTTGGATCAATATTTCTAAAGCTAAGAGTAACTATCATGACATCATAAGAAAACAATGGTTCTTTTGAAACCCTACAGCAGCAATAAAAAGAATTAAAAATTATTATCCCTATACTCACTCTCTTTAGTGTAACCAAATTCTCTTCCACATTGTCCTTTATTATTGATGCCGAATGTGTAAACCTGACCGAAGTTCGTGAGGACAACAGTGTGTGCTTTGCCTAAAGCAACCTGAAAACAGTAATCTAAATTTACAAAACATATAAAAATACTGTTTATTACATAACATAGAATATATACCAATATCATTTAAAACAAAAGTAAAAAAATATTAACCTGTATTACTCTTTCATGTCTCAATCCCTGAACAATACCATTGGAGTCACAGTGCTGTGAGTCTTTTCCAAACATGAGTAATAAACCTTGTCTAGTAACTAAAGCCGTAGAGCCATGATTGCAGGCTGCGTACACAACATGATGACCCTCCGCCTATATAAAACAAGACAATTAAACATTTTTTTAAGATCCGTCATTAAAACAGAATTGTCTACGTAACCCACCTGCAAAATTTCAGTTACCCGTGATCATGGCGTTTACAACAGCGCCAAAATATCGGGAACTCAATTAAAACAAGATGCAGGGTAGCAATCCCGTGAAAAACTATCATTTATCATAGAAAATTTTCGTAATAGCTACAATATGCTGGATAACCCATGTAATCGATGAACTCTTTAATCTTTATAACAGATTAAGTGGGAACGTACCACTGTTTGTTGCCCATCTACGCTACGCCACTATTCCTACCTTGAATATTTTTTTGGGCCGCGTTGCTTTTGGTGTCCGCCTATGTTTACTAGTGTCGCCATCTTCGCCACGCCGTGCGACACCAGTGAAAAGAGCAGATCCATTGTCAAGAACCATAACAGCATGCATACCTTCGTGCCCTACAGCAACCTGAATAAAATAATCAATTTATAATAACACCTTAATACCCCTACGCATACAATATACCTTGGTTATTTACTGTACTTTTAAGTGAACTAGTCAATCCATGTCACTCGTTTTCTGTTTTAAAATTTGACGTCACAGGCACAGTTTATTTCGTTATCTAGTCAGAATTTAAATGTTGACTTCTGAATAATTTATTAATACGATTTATTTCCGAAAGATAAGATTTATTTATACTAAAGTTGTGAACTTCAATGAAAGACATTTGAAATGGTCAAATGAACAATTAAATACACAAAATACTTACCTGAACAACTTTGCATTTTTTAGTGTTTGGTGCTTCATTTTTTATGAAAAGTGTTTCCTTCATAAGCGTCCAGCGTCCAGAAGGCGGAGCTGCTGATTTATAACCGAGACTAGCTCCTTTACCAGTATAATATACCTGTAAAATTATATTATATTGGAAAATATTTATTTAAAATTATACTTGAAAGAAAATTCAGTTCAGAACGCATCGACTGCAGGTGCAGACGGGACCAACGGCTTAACGTTACTTCCAAGAGGAACTCGAGATAACAAACTTTTGGTCGCCCATTCTGTGACCGCCCTTGCGAAAGTTGCATAACAACCTTACCGCAGACCGAGAGCGCTAATCACTGTGTCATCGAGCTCGTCTTATGCATATATCTGATTTGATTTAGAGAACTGCTATTTTTTAAATATTTTTCAAAAATAATAAGTAATTACTTCGCTTCACAAACAGGATATTTGAACAGATAAGTAGGAAAATAATTAAGTTAAACTAATTAGGACTATTATTTTAGGAGACCGGATGTAGTTTTCGTAAGAATACATAGAATAAGGGACACACATCGCAATAATTGAGGAAATGTAACCTTTCCAGAGTTGGTAGTCAAAAGCCCAAAGTCTTGACCCGTACAGATACTCGATAACGGGTCATCCTCGTTATCTTCGAGTTGCATAGCGACCGGTGCGTCCAATTCCACCGCCCGTCGGGACAAGTTGTCGTCGAACGGGGCACGTCCAAGTACAAGCGTCCGCCGCCTCAATAAGTGCACATTCAAATACTTATGTGACGTCAATGTCACCGAATTGTTCACTTCAACCCGTTCCTTTGGCGAATCCATGTCATACATTTTTATCGTTAAATTATCCTACGAGAAAAGGATATGCTTCGTTAATTCTAAATTGCTAGTGTAATGTTTTAAATATGATAACAATTAATATAAATAAACAAGAACATACTCCTACATTGATAAGAGAGTCTGAAGAAAATCTAATAAAATTCAATAATATGAAGCAAATTATTAACAAAATAAGCAGATTGTAATTATCCATGTAACTAAAGTACGTAATTAACTTATTATTTGCAACATTGCTAAGCGACAATATAAAAAAAAGTATATTGTACTTCAAAATTATTATCATTATTAAAGACAGGCAGACAGTTGCAAGAAGCGATGTGACCTGTATCAACTCCGCCAGTGGATTCATCAACAGAACACAGAAAGACGTTAGAAAGGCCTCGTGGGCGTGGAACTGTAGCCACGATCCTGGGCATATGTACAGGATCGTAACTTCACCACGCCATCGTGATGTTTAGTCATTCACGAACGCTGTACGTACTGTGAAACACGCCACTAAAAGTGTTAAAAATGCCGGCTTGCGCGGTTATTCACTGCAAAACGAGAAGTCAGTCCTCAAATAGGTCCAAAGGAAGGATTTATTTTTATTAGTAAGTAGAACCCTTTTCAAATTTAATATTTTAGTCAAAATTCGTGAAATGTTATCAAAAGTGTGAATCAAAAAAATATTTTCAAGAAAATATACATTGCTGGAGAAGTACGCATATTTATTACATTGCGTCGTACTAAGCGCATAATGTAAAGAACATCGCGAAATCACCGTTCTAAAGAGTAACATAATAGATTACGGTAGATCGCTAGTGAAGTGCCATGGGAACATTTAATCGATTCTTTTTGTATCAGTCAGTGAAAATTAAGTAAAAGTAAGGACGACAAAAATAATGATAATAAAAGACAAATTTAATCAGAGATTAACAATAGCAATAAATTAAATGTAACCCTATTATAGACTACCATATTGACTTCGTTTGTTATGCATAATCATCATCATCAGCCCTTTTACGTCCCCATTGCAGGGGCTCAGGCCTTCCTTATGGTTAAGGAGGATAGGCCATAACCCTCCACGCTGGCCCAATGCGGATTGGAGGGTATGTACGTTTGTTATGCAATTGTTATTTATTAATTTAGTAATGTGTGTGATTTGGCGAAAGAACCTGTTTTTATATTCCTAATATTGTAACAGAAAATTAGATTTTTTTATTTTAAACCATTAACAACAATACTTTTTAAATGGTCCGAAACCGTTCGGGGTAAGTTCCAATAGCATTTATTGTACTAATTGTATTGTTTTTATTTTGTATACATTTATTTACATTACATTGTTTGTCAATATTACTAGTTTCATTTAAGCGATGCTGCCGATCTTATCTATTTACTTGATACGAAATCGAGTAACATAACGTAAAGAAATTACCAACTATTATTATTTATAAACAAACCGACAAACATATATGCAAATAAATATTTAAGCCCGACTAGTACTGATTCAATATTAGTGCATTATTAGAAAGTGATTTATATATTTTTTACTACATCAACCAACTAATTAAGAAGCATAAAAAATTTCATGTCTTTTTTAATAATAATATCTAAAGAAAAAAGATAGTATGTATTACATTTAATCAATACAATTCAATGTACCTATATATCCAAAATATAATATAAAGAAATCATTACTCCAGTAGTATCCTTTCAATTAATTGTCTTGTTGTTTATCAATATCGATAGTAAATAACTTTTTGTCAATCACTAGTGTAATATGTCAAATTAAAATGGCTTTTACAAGTTTATTGCGCACTCTAGATGTTTGTCACGGTTGGGCGTGATTGGTTATAGTTATATTGGCGTGTTCTGATTGGCATGTTTTAAAATGCAAGTCTGTGCATATCTTTTGCATATCTTAAGTAATTGGTCTAATATTTCAACTGACGTATGGCGGACGAAAAGTGGGGCAAGACTGGCGATATCGGCTTTCGTACAAAGGACCCATGAACGCCTTTCTAACCTCTTTTCCGTGTTCTGTGGGATTCACCTATGTGGTGTAAATCATTTGTGTGGGATATTCCATTATTTCCGATTCATGTATTTGTCTTAAGTATGTATATTTGATAAAAGGATATAAGTTAAACAAGAACAGCGTTTTCTAGCAATCTGATACAAAATTAATAGACAATTGGTTTGCCAGATGCTCAGAAGTAGACAAATGACAGCGAAACTGTTTCTGCCTATATGACGAAACACCATCACAGGTCGCGTGATATACATATATAAGCTTTTAATTGTAGTTCAATATAATAACACGTAAAATGGTGGCAAGATAAATTTAAACTTTTGTTAAACTCCTTAAAATGTTTTTCACTTCTGAGAGTACCCTGTTCATTAAGACGACCTAACACAAATCAAATCAATCCAGTCTTAATCTGAAACAGCACTTTTCAAACAGTATACTTACAAAGTTAGTAAGCATAATGAGTCCGAGCTGGTGACCGTCTGTGAAAACTGCCGACTTAGGCTCAATAGGGGCGGGCTGGCCGGGCTCTAATCGTACCAAACCTTTCACTTCTAAAGTCTCCTTATCAATTTCATATACTTCAGTCTTCTTTCTTCCAATTCTAACATATAACTTATTCTGAAATTAAGTACTCTAGCTCATTATTTAGCTCATATAATTAACTGAAGACAGGCAATGCTAGACACAAGCCTCCCCCAAATATCTTCACACCAATACCGCGATAGGTCTTACAAAATTGACCCTGACCTGCCATTCTATTCTATAAAAAAACTGCCTTGAACTCGATACAAACCACAGTACAAACACCACCACAAATACAAACTTTATTAAGTAAGTTTTGTTTAAACCTCTATGCTAACAGCGCTACCCTGCGACATCGAGTTCAAGGTTATTTTTATTATAACAGAAAAAACTGCAGAACATCTGCCAATCTTTCAGACCATGAATCTCGTTTTCATATCCAACTATATACATATCATTATATATCCAAATGTTAAATACATTCGTTACATAATTATAAAATTAATGATATTAAATAGTGTTGTTGATTTCGACGTTAGTGTTGTTTGACGCTTTTCTACCCAATACATATATATGTGGTAAAAACATATTAACTATAGTTAATCGATATACTCACCTTACAATATCCTAACCAGCCATGCCGGTCACTGGCAAAGAAATCAGGCTTATGCAAGTACACATGCTGCTTTATCGAGCTGCCATATCCAGAACCGATTTTGAGTAGCCCTTTCGATGTGTAGACATAAAGATAGCAGCCGTCAGAGACTAGTGATCGAACGACCAGTTCACTGGGCCCGGCGGTCAGTTGCGAGGGCAAATCTACCGGGAAACTGGTCACCAGGGATTGGTGAGGGACGCCGTAGTTCAACCATTGATTGCGGGACGGAGTGCCTAGCATTATGGACTGCACGCTCCTTTGGAGAGTGGTTAAATTTGATGGTATCTGCATAAAAATATTTGAGTTGTAATAACAAACGTACATTATACGTAGTGTACATGTGTTTATGTCTCAGCAACAACAAACATTGAAAATAAAAAGTTTCAATAATTAAATACTGACCAATTTAATGGCTGATCTATGTATAAGAAATTCTTTGTTTATGTTTTTGCTCTGGTTATTAAAATTTTTAACATAATAATTTTATCAAATATAATCTTCTATATCTTTCATGCTCTGTAAGAAGTCATTTCTCCAGCTAATTTTACCTGGATGTTCTGATCTGAAAGCGCTGGGGCAGACATGATAAGCGATGCAACACATGGAATATTATAATAATGACGAATTGTAAACAATGGTTACCATGGAAACGATTTAATGCCCTATATGAACTTCCACTCCCATTTTCATCTCCTTAAGTGTTTTTTTTTTTTCACAATAAGATAAGATATGCTGACGCGAAGTTTTTTTAGAACTTTTTAAGGGGATCAATTTTTGAGTAACTTTCACCGTCTATGCAGAGCAAGATAAGCTTTAAATTTTCTCATTTTAGCAACATATTAGCTATGTGGCCTTCCTCCATAAATGGACTATTCAACACAAACAAATAATTCAATTCATTCATGAGATAATAGAGTTCAACCAAACAAACAAACTCTTCACGTCTATTATTGGTTAGATTGCCCAGATGCCCTTACGTTTTTTGCTACCATAGCACTGTATGACCTCATTTATGAATTTGTATGGAGCATTTTCATAGCAGACATACAATTCATACAGACAAACTACATTATTTCTCAATAATAGACTATTTATTTATATTACTTGCCTTTCAACAAGGCATTCAATTCCATAAAGCATAAATACACTTATATATGAGAAGTGTTGAGATAGTCAGAGAAATATATTAAAATCCCACAGCTAAGATAGATATGGAAAGAAAACGATAAGAATTTGAAATAGAAAAAGGAGTTGAACAGGGAGACCCATTATAACCCAAACTGAACTGGGATGTTTATGGTTTAAACATAAATGGAGACAAATTGAGATTCACAGATAGTCCGATTATTTTAGAATATAAACCAAATAATCTAGAAATCATTTAACAACAGCTAGCTGACATAAATGAAGATGGGGGGTCTGCAAATGAACACAAAAATTGATAAGAAAAAGAACACAAAGGGTTGTTAGGATAAATAACAACATTGTAAATTATGTAAACCAATACACATCCTTAAGTCAGATAATTTCACCAGAAAACCAAAAAAAAGAAATAGAAGCAAGAATAAATAAGTCATGAAGATATTAGTCACTCAAAGAAATAATGAGGAATCCTCAATTCACAATGAAAGAATAAAAGAAATTGTTAGACACTTGGAGACAATGGTGAAAAAGGAGTTACAAGGAGTAGGAAGGCCATGGACAAACAACTTTGGAAAACTCTAGAGGAGACCTTTGCCAAAGAGCAACCAGATTAAATAGGAACTTTTTTTATGTTATATATTGTTTAGTAGATAAGAAAGGCTTATTTTATGTATTTATTATTTATAAAATAATAAAAAAAAACAAACATAATATCTATATATTATATATAATAACTCTGTTCATTACTTTAGCTGTAAAATTCCTTTCTATTCCTACTATCTTTTTGGACCGATTTACATAAGACTAAAGCTTTATTTTAATTAATCATTTGTATGTTGTTCCAGATAAAATCAATCATAGGGAAAAAGAAACTTGCTACCTTAGGCAACTTGTTAATAGGAACCAAAGCATTGGCATCATCGTCGTCACTGTCTTCGGAGAATTCAGCAGATGCGCCAGGGAGGTGCATCCAGCGAGCTAATACTAGACGGCGCACAGTGGCATATACTGCAAATTGGGACGGGTTGCATAATATTGCAGGAGCATAGCATGTTGGCAGAGCACTTGTAGCCTTTAGACGACGTAACTTTTCTTTCTTGCTTAGCTTGCGCTGAGTCTTCCGTTCTACTTTCCTATAGTAAAAACAATAAATATCTAGAAACAGCCAGAAGTCACAGATATAATGTACAATTAATCAACAAATATACAAACAAATAAATAAAATAATTATTTAATTTTAAGGATTGGTGGATTGCAGCATTCTTACTCTGAAATCATTGACTGTTATATGATTAGCTGTTGTTCCTGCAACTTGATGATGTAGTTCCTTATAAGTGAAAGAATAATTAAACAGGTCCAGTAGTTTTGGAGCCTATTTAATCAAATGTTCAAACAAACAATATACCAAATAATCAAATCTTTCTTTTGTCTTTAAAATATAGAAAAAAACTTGAGATAAAACTCCAGTTAACAAAGTGCAAAGTTCTTACTTGGTGTAACTCCAGCATAGTGCACGGAAAAACTTCCGATAGTTTTCTGGATCCATACATTTTAATTCAGATGACTGCATCATCAGGAAGAAAGATTTAACAGCATCTAAATCTGTAATTTGGGCATTAAAACAAAAAATATGTCAGACATATTTTATAGTGCATTTTATGTAAACAAATAAGTTACAAACTAATTTTCGCATCTTCGCAACAGCCAAAAGATTAACTATAGTTTAATGACATCTGCAAATGATATATCAGATACTGCAATAGACTGATTACAATCAATACAGGTCAATGCTCTGCACTATAATAAGCATAAGTAACACAAAGCTATCCACATAAAAATTTAACAGTATCGAAATGACTGTCGCGATGCTTAATAAATAAATAAATTTAAAACTACAAGAGTAATTTAAAAAATATATACCTGTACAATTGTAAAAATTAAGCATGCAGACGTCACACAAAATACAAAATTTATAGTAATTAGATTAAAGTAAAATAATATTGACTACTATTAAAAAAGTACCTGTTACATCCACAATACCATGTTGTTTGTTTATATCATAGTAAATATATTTCTACTTTGTTAAATCATTATTCTCAACTCTCCAGCAAAACTTTTGCGGTAAATAAAATGTCAGACGAAAAATCAATAAACATTCAATTTTAGGGATGCGAACAAATGACTAATTTGTTCAATTTATACATCGGTGTTGTTGGGTTATAAAGCTATTATCTTAAAAAAGATACTCGATAATCGTGTATAGAGTAGTTAGTGTAGCGAGTGACACAAAACCATGAAGCTGCCAGGACCTTCAAACGAAATTTAAAAAAGACTAAACAAATTTTACATACTATCTATAAAAAGCTTTGATAAGAGATAAAAAGCAATAAAATTCAGAATTCAATAGGATATTTGATGTTTTTTAAAAACTATTTAAAGTGGTTGTTTGATACATATAAACACACTGTCAAAAAATATATAAGAATTTATTATACTTTCTACGAAAGTCACGCAAAAAACGATGTTCTATGTAATGGCGGCGATCACGTGATATTAGTGGCGTTCAATTCCTTAAGTTAAACTGTCAATATAGTTTACAAATAACCATATTATAAAATGCATACCTATTGAAATAAATAATTTTACTATAACTCACATCTATTTATGATAGGATATTTAAATCTTTAATCGTGCATCGATTTACTAGCATGACTATCATTCTAGTCATGGCTAGCGGTGCTCCGGTGCCCCGATTTTGTCGAGGACATCTTGTCAAGGCTCTAAAGTCGCGATCCTATATTGAAATAATGATTTTATACTAAAAAACATGTAAAAAAATAAATAAATGCTAATGTAATAAACAAAAATATTATTTTCCAATCATTCGTTTTTTTATTTTGACTACCATTGTCTTCCTGCTATTAGATTTAAACTTGTATTATACCATGGCTATAAACTTACGTTGACCTAATTAAAATTTTCAGAACATGTTATGTTGAATTTGTTTTTATATAAATAGGCAGTATTTTATTGTCAAATTATTAACCGACTTAAAAAAAATAGGAGCTTATCAATTCGATGTGCGTGCCTTACTGAAATTTCGTTGGAATGGCCTAATATTCATTTAAGTTGATCTGTATGTATTTCTAAACACGTGTGCAAAATTTGATAGATGTGTGTTTGTCCGCGGATATCTCACATACTAGACGTCGGATTGCAATGAGACATCAAAGATAATTTTTGTGTTTCGACTTTATTGAACTTAAAAATGTATGGTATTAAAAATAACAGTATTTCTCTTATAATACATATAAACCTTCAGATCAGTACTAAGTAGAAAATTTCTTCCAATGAGATAATGACGCCATTTCCGGAGAGATTCAACGATGGCTGCCGCTTCCTTCTCTATAGAAGACTGACTTTTTTCAAAATCGTTAAGCGATCGAGAAAGAAAGCCACAGGCTGACCGTTCTGGGTTAGTATTGCGGCAAGTGAATTTTCGAAAGCGTCAGTTTCGACAGTGAACATAGCTGATTCGTCAATAGCAGCAAATGAAGCTTTGGCAATAGTTGCTTTTAAATAATTAAAAATTAAAATATTATGCTCAGATAATGGAAAATTGTTAATAAATAATAATGGTTTTACCTTTTCTGAGAAATTTTGTATCAATTTAGAGTAATGGGCAAAGAAGCCTAGCGCTCTTTTAACTGAAGAAACATATTCTGGAGTCGGTAAGTCTAGCAGAGGCTTCAGACGGTTCTTATCGGGTTTAATGATGTTATCCTGAATTGTATACTCGAGGCGATTAATGGTATTGGCCACTGGTGAGAGCATATTTGGCCACTGCATTCATGAATTTTGAGAGATTGGCGTCATGCTCGGTTTTGTCTATGCCATAAATTGTGACGTTATCAAGATAAGCGAATGTGCCCTTTTGAAACTTCTATTTCTATAATGTAATTTAAGATATGTTGAAAGGCAGCAACGCCATTGGTGACTTCAAAAGGAATACGAGTGAATTGATAGAGTTTACCATTTGCTTCAAAGGACGTATAAATTCTTTCTTTCTATAGAATAGGCACTTGTTGATGCGCAGATTTTAAGACCTCCACCTGCAATCAAAACTTGTGCTCAGCAGGGTGATACGCTAGGCTCTATAATCCCGTCTACAAGAAGTTTATTTAATTCAGATTTGATGAAACTTTCGTCTGGATCGGACGGCAATTAGCTTTATATCAGCAGTAAGATTTGTAAAAAGACTAGCAGGAGGTAGAAATGCCACCCTTACGTTACAAATTATCAACGGTTCGCCAGAACCACCGAATTCAAAGTGCAAAGAAGAATGATTTTTAAGTAAGTCGTGATCGATAATGACATCTGCGCATAAGTTATTCACGATTAATAAAGGATGTTGTTTGTACTGATAATCATAGAGTTTGATTGTAGTGTAGCAAAGTCCATAGACAAAGGAAATCTGGCTTAAAGAGGCTAATGTAATAGATTGTCTACTAGGTTTCATCTTCAGTTTCATAGTTTGTGCTACGCTCCGATCTATAAAGCTTACAGAACTCCGTGTATCGATTAATGCATCTGCTTGATAATCATTGACAGTAATAGACACAGTAGCCTTTCTGAGACTATTTGGTAAAGCAGCTAATATTGCAGACAAATTTTCTTTGCTTTCACTTATTTCTATATCATTTTCAGTTACATCATTTACTCTTTGAGGCAGACCGCTTCGACAAACATTAGCAAAATGACCTGTATTTGGGCAGAGCTGGAATTCAGCACGGAAAGCTGGAAATTTGATTCTCTGGTGCACATTTCCACTACAAAAGAACGTCTTGTGATACGCCCTTTAGTGTTCTGGCGAGAAGTCGAAAAGGTAGCGGGCGAGTTTGGCATGGCTAGATTCCAATAATCTTTCTCTAATTTTTTGGTAATTGATTCCGGCAATAAATGCCCCACGTACTCCTATAAAGATTCTACCGATTTTTGTCTCCGCGATATTAGTAGATGTCGGGCAAGTATTTCCTTTTTAGGTTTAATGTAAGTATTTTCTAAAGTTTCTATAGCATCCAAATACGTCGAGTTATTATGAATGTAAGAATAGATAATTGGAGATATATTGTTTACCAACAGTTTTAGCTTTATATAATTTTCAGTATTCTTTCCATATTCTTCAGATAGAAAATTCTCAAATGCAAAGCGCCAGTGCTTCCATTTCTGATCTGTTGCTGGAACATTTGGCTTGTATTTTATAAATTATATATTTTTGGTGGTAAATAAACTCATGTGATCTAAAAGCTCCCTGATCTTTCTCTATACCTTTTTTACCATCGGATATCATTTATTCAGCTTATAAAATACATATAGGAAAATAGCAGAAGACAATAGAAAAACTATGACAATAATGACAAACATCATAGATATCTAGACATGACGAAAGAGTACTACATCAGGTAGTCGGTTTTTTTCCCGGTTCGATATGTCAAGCCATAAGTAGGTAATGCTAGCCTATGCACTATAGGTAATAAATAGTCATTAAAATAGAATAAGAAGAAGAAGGAATTTGACGGTTTGGAATTTTACTTTATTCCGGACCAGTTTATTCCGATCCGGAATGGCGGCAATGAAAAACGTGTTTAAGCTTGTGCACTGCTGAGTCCGTGATCCTAAAAATTTCATGAGCTCGCAGAGTAGACTTGTGAAAAATAATCAATTTATGAAAAATGGATATATATTTCGGCGATATTCTTAATTTCCGATAGATGTTGTACGTGTGTATAAATAAACACAGGCAAAGAAGATTTGTATTGATCCAGATATTTCCAAATTATGCACAATAAATAAAAAAGGAATGATAAAATATAAATGTATGAATTAAAGTTGTAAAGGACTACATTGTGTAATATTTGGTGTGTCATTATGTATATGGCTAAAATAAGGATCTAACCTTATATTTGAATGTATTTTTTTAACATAAAATCTTGTATTTTGTGTCCTGATTTAAAACCTTAAGTCTTCCTTAACCTTCTATCCTGATTTAAAATAAATTGGACCTGAATGCTATGCCATGACAAACGCGTGAATCGCATTGTCTACATCAAACGTTATTTTTATTGGGGGCGAGAGTGTGACATCATTCTCGAGTTCATAGAATCTAACCCGGAACATCAGAGATGGTTCACACGTCCTTTCCAAGAAAACAGACGTGTGTACCGCTCCGCTACTTGTCTTGACGTTTTTTAAAGGCTGATAGTTAATGTGTTCTGTGCTGATAGCCATATCCAAAGTGTCATTTTAATAAGGAAGTATTTAAAAACTAAAAATTTGATCTTGAAGTCAAACTATATGTCATTAGCTTTTTGCGGATGATGCGGATTTTTGCTTTTTGAATTGTCTATGATGTACATCCAAATTTTCTTTCTGGCGTAATAAAAGTAAATTGAGCATCGAAAATTAATAACTTTGACATCATTTAGTGTTTTTATAATATTTAACTTTAAAATTAATTTTAATTTATTTGAATCGCAAGTTTAAGTTATTTATTATATTACGTGTAAAGGAACGATGTTTATTTATATGTCAACATTAGTGATGAGCTAACTTATTGGTTGTTTGAACTGACTTGATTCATATGAATTCAGTTTTGAAATGAAGAACAAAAAGCGAAATACAGAATTCAGCTTGTTTTTTATGGGCATTATTTCCATATGTGACATTATACATCCATATATAGAATGATATTAATATAAATATATGTAATAATAATAACTGACCAGCTTCAAGCTGAAAAATCTTAGGAGGAGAAATAATAATAATTAAGAACGAAAAAAGCCCATACCCATCGCACGAATTTACATAACACCTGACTCGACGTACACATACACATTGTACACATTGTCGACATACAAGTTTAGTAGCGATAGTATAAAAACTGTACATGTCTATGTTATTTTGAAATTTAAAAATTACAACTCTGTTGTTTGTTTCGATTAACTTTATTGAGATTATTTAATTATGAATATAGATGTAATAATTAATCTTAGTTTAAAGAAAAAATATTAATTTCGTAAGGACTACTTATTTGCACGTTGTACTTTGCACAGACGTCATTTAAGCCAAGAGTCATGTTATTTTGTACGAGTAACTAGTACATTTAATGACACTTTTAATAATTTTACAGCATTCATTCTAATGATATCCAATAGTTTTAAAATAACTTCTCTATGCTGACTTCCATTAAGGTAGTTTCTATTTTCCTATATACAAATAAAAAAGGAATCTATTTACACATTCGAAAAAATTAATCTAGTTGCGTTTGCGTAAATCGTATTATTGAATTTCAATTTGATATTAATTCGAGTAAAATATCATTGACAATTCTATTCTCTAGAATTTGTCTGAATTCTCTTTGTGCTGTTATCTAGTGACATAAATTTTTGTAGTTTCTTTATGTTTTTTAAAATGTAAATATAAATCTCTTTACATGCCTTATCTAGGGTTATTATTTACTTATCCGGAATATTCTTCAATTGAATGGACCTTAGATGTAACAACAATTTGTTTTATCGCAAAATTGTATAATTTGTATACCTTTATTTTAATGTTATTTAGATTAAAATTAAACTTTAACAATAATTTTTATATTTATTTATTTAATAAATAAAAACCAGCAAAGCGCGAGTTGGATTCTCGCATGAAGGGTTCCGTAGCATTATCCGTAAATAAAAAAAAAACAAGAAATGTGATGTTTTTTGTGTAAGAGTCTCTTTAAATATTTTATTTTTATTTTTGGTATTTATTGTTATGGCGACAACAGAAATAAATGATTTGTCAAACATAATACAACCTAATGGCAGACGGACGTACGGACAGGCAGATGGACGGAAAGCAAAGTCTTAGTAGTAGTCTCGTTACCCTGTGGGTACGGAACCCTAAAAATAAAATTTATTGTTAAAAGTATCACAAGAAAACGATTGGAACATTAGAATAATTTAAAAATAAACTAAAAATAAATATAGCACTTTCTATTCTTCTTTCATATCGGGTGTTAAGAAGTTCGATATATCAAATCAATTAATAACGAAATTCAGCAAAATGCCATTTGAAATGATACGGGCACTATTGTATCAAAATTATATTTTTATTTTGGTAATAAAAATAATTAAAAGTTATAATTATTCAGTATATCATTCTGAAAATCATAGTTATTATTTAATAAGATTATTTAATTTTAATGCACTCTATCTACATAATTTATCGGGCAAAATGATTTTATGTTTTCATTTTCTCTCTTTGCACAATTAAATGTTTTTATGTTATCTTTATTAACTAGACTATCTTATCAATATTAGAAATGTGAAAGTTTGTTTGTTTGGATGTTTGTCCGTCAATCACGCCGAAATTACTGAACGGATTTTTATAAAATTTGATATACAGATAGGGTATTAGTTGACTTAGATAATAGGATACTTTTTATCCCACTAAACTTTTCACGGGTCCACGCGGGCGAAGCCGCTGGCGAAAGCTAGTTTACTATAAATTCTAGTTATATATTACTTTTGTTGGTAGTCAGCCAGCAAGGCACGATCGACCTCCGTAGACTATCACTGGTACCATAGTATAGTTTTAATTGATAACGTCTGTTGATTTCTGGTGTCATTAAATTGAAATATTAATGTATACACATACAATATATTAAACCGTAACTAATTGTTTCATAGAAACTGCTGTTTAGTCTCCCTCTAACAACTTTATGAAGACATTTTTTTTACTGTAATTTTAATTGAATATGTAATTTAATCAGAATCAGACATCACTATCGCGCCATTGTGAGGCATTGTGGTGGTGGTTGGTTGGTGCTCCTCTGTGGCATGGATGTCCAGTTTGTGTGTTTATATTAAGTTTTAAGGGCAGTAATGAATATATTTTTTAACTATATTTTAGTAAAAATAACAACAGTGACAATAATGCGTGCCGAACCTTTTATACCTGACTAATTGGCAATTTTGAGTCATCACGGTTAGTTCAAATTGATGACTGAGGTTATTTGTTGTGACATAGGTAGTTATAGCTATATTAAAAATAATTTGTCATCAATTGCTTTATAAATTGTTTTTTTTTTATTATTCACGACTTATTTATTAATTAAAGTCTGCCGTGGTCTATGGAGATATTGTTATTAGCATATTTGCATGCATTGTTCTCTCCAAGATACATCTTGGCGTTGGTCGCGACTTACAAAGAAACGTCTTTTTTGTAATCTTTTGGCTGGTTTGGTTTATGTTGTCTTTAATGCTTAATATATGTGTTTAAAGTAAACGGAAAACTCAAAAAACAATACTTTAGGTGTTGTCTTCTAGATTAATAATGTGAAACATTTCATTAATTTTCTGATTGGACATGTATGCTATGTGTAAAAAATAACTTTATAATATTTTTTCTGGAGATTGTAACATATTTCTACAATAGCCTTAGATAGCTAAATATTTGAATGTGTTTATATTTTTAATTATGTGATAATCATTTTATAACATTGACTGCAAGGTTGCTTTAATTGTATTAGCAATATCATAACATTGAATGCTTCCTCTATAGTTATAAAGAGATTACAGATTGCTATGATTTTGGTATTGTATTTATGAATATTATTCAAATATTAACTTATTTTTATATACATGATTTTATGTACGTATTTATATAAGTCTCATTCATATTAATTATATATATATTACCATGTTTTTGATTCTAAACTTGAAATCTTTTAATATATTCTGAAATTTAATGCCATATTCAATTTATACATAAAAGTGTTTTTGTATACATATTATCTGTAGTTCCCATGAAAATTTATTTAAATCAGCATATATGAAGTTTATTGAATGTGTTGGATTAACTAGCAATAAGACATTTTAAGAACATGTAAGCACAGTTTTAAATGATTATTCAGTAAAAGCTGCAGTCATTTATGCTTGTTATTTTTCATAGTCAAGAGTATAAATTGATTATTATTGAAGCCAGGGTTCAAAGATATATTATGTCATAGTTTATACTTTTGTAAATCCGCAAAACCAAAATTGTTATTTAGAGTAGAAAAGCTTTTATTTTTTTCAATAAATAATTCCTATAAATGGCCATGGTAATAAATAAGGTGGTCCTTGATCAATTTATACAGAAATAAGATATTTTTTTGGAAAAATTTAAAGATGTTCCACTTTAAATATCTATTTTGGTTTTGTGGGCTACTATGTGTTTGCTTTCCAGCGTTGATATATGTATATTCTTTATATAATTGTCTTTTTCATATTGGTTGATATTCTCTTAACTATTTATATTTTCTCTTCTATATCTGTCTATTGTCTGATAATTAATGGTAATAAAAATGCCTTGATAATTATCCACACTGTTACTCAAAAAGTGCTTATGGGAAATGTATTTACATTTATATAAATATATTTTGACAGGATATTTACATTTATATGAACTTATTTTGACAGGATACTCCAGGGCATCTATTAAATAGGCCCAACGATGGAGGTCGCAGCGCGAGCCCTAGACGTCCTTCCTCTCCTGCAGGAGAGGGTGGCGGCGCTGACTGGCGGTCGCGATCGCCGCGGAGGGCCAATCATATGGTTCCCATCCAATTCCCGACGGGATCGCGTAGCACCAGATGACTATAGACGCCTATTACATTATTTAATCAGCATACCCAGGTAAGTAGGAGAAAATTTTGTTTGAAGCGATATACATCACTTTGATAAAGGTGAAGAATTTCTACTTCTATTATAAAATGTTTACAAAACATTTGCCATAAGAAAATGCATATGAGAGCTTGCTACCTATTGTGTAACATTGTTTTGAAGAGTCACAGGGACATAGGTACATATATAGGCTCCTAACCTGTGTCAGGGACAATAGCCACTTGACATTGTTGCGAGTTTTCCTCAAGTTGCTTTGTTTTCTCTATGTTACCAAACATCATTTAATGTCTACAGAGTTATGAATGAAAGTTCACTGCAGTGGTATGATGCAGTTTTTAAATAGAACGTTAAATATATTAATTTGATTAAATAATTCATTATTGGCTATGTTAGCTTAATTTACAATAAACTAGGGTATCTTTTAATGGTAACCAAAAAAAATATTCTGTTAGTGTATGGCAACACATTGCATTGTTAGTATGGTATGGCACTATGCCATCCGACATATAAATTTCAATAAGTCAAAACTATTTTACTACAGATTGCTGCGATGCAAAATATATGAAAATGCCCACATTTCAAAAAATCGTCTCATGGGGGATAAATTGTTTAATACTTACACAAATTGTACAGTGACAAATCTGACTATTGACTAAAACTCATAATTCTTAAACCAAAACTAAAAATCTGTGTCTCTAACTTTCTTAGAGTGGTATCTAAAAATACTAATTGACAGTGATGATCAGTAGCAAAAGTAGACTAGATTTAAGTATTCTTTTTAATCCTATCAAACTAAATTGCAATAGGATATTTGACTAATTATGAGAAATAATGTTAAATTTTTTGGGGGAATTTATTTATCAATAAAAATCAAAGTTAAAGTTTAAATTTCAAAAACTGCGCGGAAAACGCTGTGTCCATCGAACGCCGCAATTACGCAGCTTATAACGTCCCACGTAAGTAAATAAACATACCAAAATCGTCAACATGATGAAGCCATATTTACTAGCGTGTGTCGTCATTGGGGTTGCAACAAAACAAAAGGCGTTTTCGTCACAAATAAAATGTCTAAAATATTTGATTTTCTTTTGTGAAATTTGCAAAAAATATACATTATTTTGTTTAAAATAAAGTGGAATATGTGTTGATCTTATAGGATGAATTTTTTATATATTTTTATGCTATTCTGTAAACAAGTAACAGAAATAAACTTATCATCAATTAAACTATACAGGAATTATTTCTAAATCTTAAGTCACATATTTATCAATATAAAATAATATTAAACAAACCCAAAATAAAATTAGTTGTATTCAGTTATGAGCAGAAGTTCTCAAACATTATTAGTGATGGAACCTTTGGAAATAGTTATAAAATAAAATAAAACAGATTTTTATATATGTGCATTACTAATTACTATCATACTACAACATGGTAAAACAGGATTGAAATTATTTCCTAACATCTGTAAATATAAATAAAGTTTTTGCCATTGTGTGTAAAATCTATAATTGGTCACCAAATTCTTTTCATAACCACCCAAATGTTTTTAAATAGTCCTTATCTGGAATACGGATTTTCATGGCCAGATGCTTTCTAGTTAATGTTGCTGTTTATGTTTAGAAATGTTGATACAATTTTTTGGTTGCAGTGACTCTGTTAGATCTCATGGCTTCACTATTCTGATAGATATGAGAGGTTCAGCATGGGCTGCTATAAAACCAATTTTAAAAGTTCTCCAAGAACATTTCCCCTCATCCGTCCATCAGGCACTGGTTGTTAAACCTGACAATTTTTGGCAAAAGCAGCGCACTACAATAGGAGCACATAAGTACAAGTTTGAAGTGAGTAGCATCATTAATAAAAATATTATTAGGAAATATTGTTGTAAAATTGAATTTTTAGCGTTTTGTCAGATGACTTTCTAATACATTAGAAATAAATATTGAAAATAGTATTCTTGCAATTTATAAGGTCTATTGTGACAATTTTATCAAAACTCTGATAAAATAACACTGATCCTATGAATATTGGGCTTTTGCTTCAAACTTCAATGTACAAACATACTTTAAAAAGTTTATGTTGTTTATTGCAAACAATTTGTACACTTACTGACTAATTTTGAAACTATATTGTAATCTTTCCTAATACGAGATGCTTAAAAAATCGCAATCCGAGCGACTGCACTGCTCTGGATTGCGAAAAGTCGTGGGTTCGATTCTCATCTCAGGGTGCCAGGGACCAGTGGATTTTTTAAGCATTTTGTATTAAGAATAATTTTCAGTATGGCACAATGCCATACTGAATGCAAAATTAATAAAAAAAATAAATATATAATACATTGTAATCTGTCATTGTGCCTTGAGTTGAGTCAAAGAAAATATATTTAAAGGACTTCTACATTCATAAAGTTTTGGGTCCGTTACTTTTTAATGGATTTACTGATAACATAGATAATTCACAAAAATAGTAACTGTAATTTATTTTCTTTCAGACAACCATGATTAGCTTAGAAGCACTTCCTAAAGTTATAGATAGTTCACAAGTAACAGCTGATTTAGATGGCACACTGCAATATGATCATTCTCAATGGATTGATTTGAGATTGGTAAGTTTTGTGAAAACATTATCACAATAATTTATTTGCTGGGAATGTATCAATATGCACTTTTAACTATCTGATATTGGCACAGACACTGACAGCTTGAACTTTCAAAGAAAGCTGTAGAAACTGTCAAAATTTGTCATACCTATTTGAATAATTATTATTTAGGGACATAATAATTAACAGCCTATTCAGACATTGAAACATAATTACTTTTTAAAATCAAAAGTTATATGATTATTATATAGGACACACAATATTCTTAAATTCAGTACACTTACTCTTTTTACGCGAGATTCCTTTTAAATAGTAAAGTTTATTTGTTTGGATGTTTGCTCGTTAATCTTGCCGAATCTACTGAACAGATTTTGATGAAATCTAGTATATGGTATTAGCTGGCTCAGATAATAGGATAATTTTATAATTAATTTTATAGGAACCACGTGGGCGATGCCACTGGCTAAAGCTAGTTAATTATAATGTAATAATACAAATGCAATTCTTGATGCCATTCAGAGGTGTGAACATCAATTGATGTTTTTTTTTTTAAATTATCAAATAAAATATTTAATAATAACACGTTGTTATTAGATATTCTTGGTACCTAAAAATAATTTCTGTCCACAGGCATTAGAGGAGCTCATGTGGCAGGCAGGTGAACTAATAGATAGACTGGACGATTTACAAGAGGATGTGGCTCGAGCCGACTTTGCTGACGATGTCACAGGAGCACGCCGCGCCATAGATGCACATGCAGACATAAGCAAACGCTTAGCTAAAGTACCCGTCGACGAGCTTGAAGCGCAAGGTTTGTGTGATTGTATAATTGTCGACTCGTGAATGTACTAACATATATTATTTTGTGTGTCATTATTGTAGTAAATTATATTAATAAAAACACTCTCACCATCGCAAATAAATACGCTTTAAAAGACTTTCCAAGATTTTATAGTAATTGTTTATTTCTGTGGAAAATGGAACTTTGACAAAATAAATAACCACATGTATTACCAAATTTTTTTTATAAATATTAATAATCAAAAAATTATTATACAAAATTACATTAATTGCTCAGATCTCCAGAACCCAGAATAGAGCTGGTGTCGACTATTATGCCTCGTAAATAATTAGCACAAATTACTAGCACTTACTCTGATTTAAACAATAAAAAATATTTTTTTAATTTAGCCATAGTAATTTCGTAAAAATGAATGTCGAATTTTCAAAGTATTGCAAATGCAATATAAGGATTGACTGATAGGTCTTTTTATTTTAGTTTAAATATAAATCTTACTTTACGACTGATAGGTCTTTGTATTTTATTTTAAATATAAATCTTACCTTATGTAGTCGTAATTATTAATTAGTCCATAAGTCTATCTTATGAATTCGTATATGGTGCACCAATTGAGTCAATTGAAAACAATTAGTCCATTCCAATGTCTTGCAGAATATATAAATATGTAATTAATTTAGTACCAGTCGGTCGCGTAATATTTAGCGGATGCGCCCAAGCGGAACATAAACTAGTTGCTCTGTGGTCTTTGTATGTTTGAGGGTTGTATAATAATCAGTTTCAATACAGCACGTATACTTAACAGTCAGCATTGTAATATACTGAAGGATATAATATTTATGCGTTGATCTACAGTATTTTTGAAGTACACTTATATGTGTTTTGATTGCTTGGGATATTATGATGATGAAGGTGTATAATAATTTAATATCTATTATTTTTATAATGTTTAAATACCTTTTCGAAATATCGAATGAATAAAAGTTTTGTGATATCCTGTATTTTGTTGAATAACTTTATAAAATCTGTTATGTGTTGTGCATATGTAAGTCGATAATAATATTCGTGATATTAAATCGGATTTTATTGTTGTTATTTGTACTGATATTTTAGGAAAAGTATTTATTGCTGCATTAATAAATATAATCAGGTATTGTGCTAATATAAAATAAAAATATAAGGGTAGTCAATGAAATACTTAAAATATTTTTATAAGCAGGGAAGTAGCGCGGTCATCTCAAGACGATACAAAGTTCTGTGACAGCTCTTTTTAAAAATACTGTAAACTATTGTGAAAATAATTATCACTAAGATAAGCCCTTGCATTATTTAATTTTATTATATCTGATATTAATATATTTTTTGGAACTTTGCTATTGTTTAAGCTATGTATTGATTGATTAAGTTTCGAAATGTAAAATCAAATATATTAACATTGAAAATTTATATGGTGGGGCACTAGGACCTGAGATTCGGGTTCAACGCATAAATCTATTTCAGGTGCAGATGTCACTTAATTTTAAATTATGTAGTGTTATTATTATTTAATCTGGTATCTGGAAGTTTCTGGAAAAACTTTTGAAGAAAAGTCTTAGTCCAAGTAAAAAGCATCTTGTAAAGGTAAACTATTACTATCGCGTGTTTAGGAGAGCGAGTTTTGCAACGCTTGGAAGCAGCGGAGGCAGCATGCGCTGAGGCAAGCGGTAGCGGCGGCGAGCCCGTCGCATTCCACTGCGGCTCGCCCAGCGCGGTACGATCGCAGCTAGCGAGCGTGCGATCGGCCCACGCGCACGCTCACAAACTCTGGCAGCACAAGAAGATGCAGCTTGATCAGTGTTTCCAGCTGCGGCTGTTTGAACAAGACTGCGAGAAGGTATCCTTCATTGTGAACTGAAAAGTACGCAATGTCGACTTAATATTTAGGGCTATACATAAATATACATTTATTTTGTTTTCACAGATGCTCGAGTGGATTGTAAATCATCGAACAGCGTTTCTATCTACATACGTTGAAATAGGTAGATCATGTGCAGCCGCGAAACGTCTGCAAGAGGAACATGCCAGGTAATATAAAGCTTTCATACGCTAACAATAAATTTTATTTCGCAGTAAGTTTAAAAATTGTGATTTGTTGTAGGTTTGCGGCAGCGTGCACTGGTGGTGGAAGACCGAGCGTGGCTCGTGTTACGACAGCTGCTCGACGGTTGGCTGATAAACGGCATTACGCTGAAACTCATATCACTGCACTTGCGCACCGTCTGGAACGTGCCTACAAACAACTCTCTGCGGGTAACTATCAAACTTTGCGTTTATGACAATAATTAGACTTCGCCAAAATCACTTACAATCATAGTTAGATAAAAACCAAAATAATTATATTTCATTAACTTTTTTCTAAGGGTCGATGTAAACGAAAACTGATTTTCGGGTCGAAAAGATTTAAAAATCGATACCTTAATAGGTATACAACACAAGCTACACAATATCTTATTAGAAACTTTCAAGGTATTGTATAAGTCTATTTATGTACAAGTACCATTGTGTTGTAAATTTATGAGAAAATAATATCAAGTTATATAAGGGAAAAAAGGGGATTTTTAAAGTAATTTGCCTATGGAGTCTGAGCTATTACTTAATTTTGCAAATGGGGTCTTTTGTCTAAACTGCTTTGGTAATCCTTGATCTAAAGATATAAAAATATTAGTTAAATGTATTTTCTCAGGGGCTACGCAGGCAATGTCACGGATCAAAAGTATTCTTTATAATTATTCGTATTAATCGTGCACCCTTGATAGAGTGGTTGTGGTAATATCAAGGTCGAATCCTGTTGGTTTTACGATACGACGGCCGATGTAGCTCAATGTTTGGATTTGGATTCTTATAATTTTAATCTGGTCCATTGTAATTTTATAAATTACTTGTTATTGGTTCACTATTTGAATTCGAAATAATTATACTTTATTTAATATTCAGCAATAGAATAAGCAAAAATGAACTTAACTGCTCAATTATCCGATGATTTGTGCGTTCGTAATTTAGGAGGATATTGTGTTTCCTTCTTGTTGTAAAATAGTCATTATTCACTATGATTATAAAAGGCAACGGCTCTATAAATTTATTTTTAATTATATGATACTAGTCACTAATTAAAATGGCTCTTACCATACAGTTTAATTTTTGTTTATTCGTATGAGCGGTGCTGTGATTTTATTTCACTAATCTCAGATTTGAAAAGTATCTTTAGTTTAACAGTAAAATATATGGAGTAAAATATTTAACAGTAAAATATATAGAGCTGTTAAAATTTCTCTGGTCATACTTGATTTTGTTTATTTTGTGATGTGGTGGTTATTTAGGTATGATCTCTATGTATGGTTTTACTAAACCAAACAGAATCAACATTCCCATTATTTCTTCAAAAGTTTTAAATTATCAGAGTATGAATAATATTGAAAGTTTAAGTCAATAATATTATATAGTTCAGGTGTTCATTTTTTAATCAAAACACTCACTGTAGTCTACTGAAATATATGTTCTTATAGTTTCTTTGTCATGATGAGAATGGAATGTATGTTTAACAAGTAATTACTGAATCAAATATATGATCTATGATTTTTAAACAAACATTCAGTTATTGAAAAGTGTGTGCAAATATCATACAAATACATCGTGCTCAATACGAATTATATTCGCACTTAATTATTTTTTATGCTAAAGGTACTTTAAAAGTTCAGTACCTCGATTGAGATCTACGGACCGCGTTAGCTCCGGGTGGACGGTGGTGGAATATCCACTTAAATTGAAGGCGGGAAATTTATAATACCTGTCGTCTTGTATCGATCGCAGTGTTGGGCGCCAAAGGTTGTTAATTTAGAAGAGTGACAAGAATAGGTAGAGTTACGAAAGAGTACATTAGAGGAAGTTTGAAAGTAGCGCCACTGACAGAAAAATTTACATGTTAGTATGGCCACGAGTTGATTGATGATGACGAGAGACAATGTGCATGTAAAAAAAAGTTATATATTAATGTATACAGAAATGTAAAGAGCGCAAGACTAAAGAAAAGATGGATGCACTAAGTAAAAGACGATGTGTAGGAAATTAGAGAACGTTCAGAATGAGATGATGGAAGAGGAATACCCATTGCTCCTACCTCAATTCAATAATCGGAAAAAAGCACCGCTTTACGACCATGAAAGAGCTGCGTTACGTTATTCAAAAGTTATGGTAGTAAGATAAACAATCTCTACATAATTAGGTTTGGAGGAACGATCGGCGGTGTTATCTCTATCGGTGGTATTCCACCATAAGGCTGAGGCGTATGCGTCTGCGGTGGGTGGTTGGGGTGCACAGTGTGCGGTGGCGTTACAACTAGCGACTGGTCAGGGCGGAGCGCCCTGTAATGACCCTAGAGCACTCGAACAACATGCTCAGAGACATCGACAGTTATACGAACACATGTGCCAGGCATATACTGAGGTATTGTGCACCCACAATTATAATGATACTACGATTTTATATCGGTTATGTCTTAGATTCATTATTTTTTATTGTCAACATATGCCACATCAAAAAGTTCATGTTCGGTTATTAGGGTTACAGATGTGTGAGCGTATTGACAGTTAAAGACAATAAAAACAGGATGTTCCACTTTGTGCAACTTAAAAAAACTATGTAATGCTCTAGTAAGCGAAAGCCAAACAGTTATTTTCGTATAATTGATATAACATTGACAGCTGAAAACTGTTGTAAACCAGTAAAACGCTTTATGTAATATTTTTTCTTGGTTTTTACTAGTATACTTGTAGTCTTTGTTATTGTATTTATTAAAATTTAACAGTTAATTAAATATATATAAAAATTCAAATACATTTATGTATAAATTTCAATGAAAATAATTATGAAAATCATTGCAGGTCCATTCAACAAGTAAAAAGTTACTCTATCAACTAGATCATTTAGTTCAAGTGTGCCATCAAACTGACCCAGCTGACATGGTAAGTGTATGAAAATCTAGTAATAAAAACTGATTTCAGTATGATGCTTAGCATAACAAATTATAATAAGTATATACGAAAAATAATGAGTTTAACATAAGTTAAGAGTTTGTTAATAAATATAGCATTGACCTTACCTTCTTGTTGCCTACTTACACTATAACCATCGCAATCGGAGAGGGTTTAAGAGAAGGTCGGATTAAAGATATAAGGTGTTATTTCCAAAGATTTATTGTAAATATTTATTTTAAAAATATATAAATTTTATTGTAAAGTAATCATATCAAATTAAAAGTAGCTATTTTGTGAGCGAATCTTAGTTTTACGTACTCTAGTATATTTCATTTAGTGCTTAATTTGTCAAAAATCCATTACCTTATTCAATATTTAATAATAGATGTTAATTAAGTTACGAAATAAGTAATAAATTCGAACTTGTTTAAAGTGTAGGTAAATATTGATCGATTTTTATTCAGCAAAGCGATGGGTCAGTGAGTACAGCTGGTAGTAGTGGGGGCGACCCGGCAGCTGATTACAGTTCCGGTGCCAACCACGTGCTAGCTGTCATACATCAAATCTTGGGTCACCATCGAGCTCTTGAAGCGCGCTACCACCAGGCTCGTCTAAAGCTGCATCAAAGACTCGCCCTGCTTTTGTACAAAGAGGATTGTAGGCAGGTCAGTATTTATACCGGATGCATATGATCTTAATGTTCAATTCCCATAACTATGACTGATTACGTTAAATTTTATTGTAGGTGCTCGATTGGCTGGCAAATCACGGTGATGTGTTCTTGCAAAAGAATACAGGAGTTGGAAGGAATCTCCACAAAGCAAGAGTGTATCAGAAATCTCACGAACATTTTGAAAATGTCGCTCAAGTAAGTAACTATTCTATATTTTATGACTCTACATCCATATCGACCGAAATGAAAGTCGTTTGAGAGGTCCGGAAGAGATCGTATTGTACCATCCCTAAACAAGAAAATGAGACATGTTAATTGCAAGCTTTTATAAACATATCTAATTCTTCACAGAATACATATACGAACGCAGAGAAGTTGTTGGCCGCAGCTGAAGAATTAGCTCGGTCTGGTGAATGCGACCCAGAAGAGGTTCTCGGTGTCGCTAGAGATTTAGAGGCGCACGTGGCCGCGTTCGCTGCTCGTGTCGACAGAAGGCGGAGGCGGCTGGATCTTGCTGTCTTGCTATATACACACGAGAAAGAGGTGGTTAAAATCAATAGAACTCTGTAATATAGTGTATGTGTATATTATTTCACACTTATTCAACAATTCAGTGTTGACAGTAAAAGAAAATAAATACACATTTTTTTTTTCTGGTAGTGTTTAATATACCTTAACGGATAATCACACTATTTATAAAGCTTAATTATATTTCTATAATATATAAATTTATTATATTGCTTAAATTAATTATGAAAAAATAAATATTATATACTCGTTGCCGTGTCCCCGCAAACAGTACTTGACGTCACGCCCCTCTTAATCATATCAGAACTTAGAGAACTTAGAGCCGTGACATCATAGCGACCCCATGACGTTTCTGTCAAGTGGCGTTATCGCGGAAAATTTTGAAAATTAAATTTATTTTTAGATTATCACTTATTATATGAATGATAAATCTTTAAATTTTTTACATATATTTCATGTATATCTATAAAATAAAAATATTAAAAAGTTGTCTGCACGCCTACTACAACTACAAATAAATTGACTATCAGACAAAAGCGTCATTACTGTTTCTTACCGCGCAACTAAGTGCCTCAGATTTTTACACTTACTATCTTGCTTTACACTGGCGGTCGAACGCAGATATTTGCTGATGCCATGGCTGATGCTGTCCACAGAGACTGAGCATTTCATTGCTATATATTTTATTTATCGTGTATACTTCATCATATTAAGTTGTATCGCTATTTACAATCTTGTTATGTCGTGTCTTTCATTACTGCCAGTGTTGGACCGTCAAATTTTTATTGCGGTTTTGTTGTCAAAGACTATAACAGTTCGCTTAGAATTGGATGCTCATACTCCGTGACTGACGCCGGATGCAAAATGTCTCCGTCTCTGAGGTAGGCTTCAGTTTCAGGTCAAGTAAATGCAGAAAATGAACTTTTCTATTTTGTTTCTAGTTTCGATTTTGGGTTGTGCTTCACCACAACGTACATCCAAACATATTTACATTATGGAGTACCGCTAGCAATGCCATCTGTCTATACGGGTCACTATTATCGCTTCCGTTTTTTTAATGACATCTAGGAATCTTATGCTTATTCGAACAAGACTGATTATGAATTTCAATTGTATGTTAGGCCATCATCGGAATTGGCAGGATTGCTTCATTCATAAAATATTTATGTTTGGTTTTATTATAAAAAGTTTTTTATACATAAATTAATGTCCCTAGCTGGTGCAATGGTTGGACACATTGAGAAGCGGTGGGGGTGTATGTGCAGCGGACGATACTCCTGAAGCTGCGCGACGAGCTTTAGAACAATGTGCTCAACATCGCGCCGCCAGTCTTGACGCATGCGCAGCCACTATCGCGCAAGGCGAAGCACTCCTACAAGATCTGAGGTTAGTAGTCATTTATATTAATCCAAATAAGAATAGGTTCGCGTTTGCTACCAACTTCACGGTTCAGCTGTCACTTTAGTACTGACAGCAAACAAGATAAATGTTACGGATCTTCCTGGATCTTGAACAGATTCAAACGTAGCTAGCCGATGCTGGACTGTAGAATTAAAACTCCTTCGATAATTTTCGCTTCTTTATTCGGATCTTGAGGGCCGGAGAGCTTACAAAAATCGCTCAAATCGACCCGTCTTACATTTGCTGGGGTGACTCGCACTTAGCTCGGTACATAACCAGTTTGTTAGCTTATTACATATTTTACCCCTACTCGGCGAAGCCACCCCCCACTCTTAACATCTATGTATCACATTATCGTTAACTAATTCATTTTACTGTTTCTCTTACTTACATTACAAATCATGTTAAACACATTCATACATAACTCGCATCGTGTTGGACAAGACTGCGCCGTCGAAGTTCATAATCGTTCTAAGGCGCGCCGCGCTCTTGCCCGACGTATTTATGTGGTCAGAGCGAGACGGAAGATCCCGTATAAACCAGCGCCGTCTCGCTCTGTTACACCTTTATCGTAAACATGAAGGTAGGTGAACATTTTACATTTTAGTACCCCTGTCATCGAGGCAATACCGTATAGAAAACAACATTAGCCCCCTTTAGTGAGGCAATATTATACAGAGAGCCATCTAAGCCTCCTTAGCGAAATACTTCAAAGAGAACCATACCATTAAAAAATGGAAATTAAAATCCAACCCTTCATAATCATTGAATTAGCTTATGCTATAACTTAAATTACATTAACACTATGGGAATAAATACACCCAGAGGTTGTATCGTTTAATATTACCTTTGACTACATACATTTGACTAAACCTACTTATTATATATTATTAACTTAAGATCATCTAATATATACAACTCGAAAGTTAATTAATTATTTTCCGGATTTATTTTTATTAATGACACGACTTTATCAAATATCAATAAAAAATATTTTCTAGATTGCTCTTTTGGTTTCTTTTATAATTGAGCATTAAGTTGACAATTTTTGTTTTAACTTTAACTTACTTTAACTAACCTTAGCGTGTCGCCATTTTATGACTTCGGATTCAGTTATTACGTTATATAAATATCTTCGCCCTTTTTTTGGACCCTAAAGTTAAAGCGCAATGCAAAGCCAGATGACTGCTTGGCAGTAAAAATTATTATTTAGCGTCCAGTCTTTTTAAAATAATGTTAACCTACAATCTTCGTTACGAAACGCGTCAGCGTAGCAGATACAATCGTGATAAAAAGTGATCTATAAACATGTACAAACATTGGAAATTGAGTTTATTTATTTACTAATGTTTTACAATAATAAGTGCTCGCTTAAAAGTCATATTCATAGTCCCACCCAAATCCCGATTAAATAATAAACAAATGCTTACTCTTATCTTACTACATAAATTCGAGTTAATAACAACCGAATCTAGTAAAGTGAGATGTTACCTTAGAACAAATGATAATGCATTGCACTTATGGCTTATCTTATGGCTTCTTTTAAGAAAAAACGTAGACTTATTCAATAATTTTACATGCTTAAGTCCTAAAAATATTATCTAGTAAGTACATCTAGTAAGTTCTCTAGTAAGTACAAAACAAATTCTTCTGTCGTAAAAAGTTACGAAACCAACGTAAACCTCGACTAAATCATAACCTATTTTTCTGTGGGAGCAGGTATCTCATTTCTTTTTGTAGTTCTCCTATTTTTTTCGTGCATTATATCTTGAATGGGCTCTCAGTAATGGGCTTTCTCAAAAATTACTCTCTGTCTCTGTTGACTTTTTAAAACTTTTACTTTTAGGTAAATCTTAGATAGTTTTGAAACAGTTTGGATATTTCGCTTTCCAAAGTGCCACATAAATTGCTTGACTAGTAGATATAGCTTGTCCGCATGTAAATATTGAAGAATCAACGTCCATCAATGCACTATCAAGATTTAGTCCTTGAGTTTTATTGATTATACTAGCTTTTCGCCAGCGGCTTCGCCCGCACGGTTTTGTATTATACATAAAAACCTTCCTTTTGAATTACCCTATCTATGAAAAAAACCGCATCAAAATCCGTTGCGTAGTTTTAAATATTTAAGTATACATCCCTATATTGGAACAGAGAAAACGACTTTGTTTTATACTATGTAGTGATAAGGTATCACGAAGCCCATTTGATGGAGTTTGTTGGTCAACCGTCGTTAGTCCACTCTATACGCCACATACTCGTAGATTTATAAATAAAGTATATATCCTTGGGTAATATTTTCCGTATATATTATACTATTTACTCTTTGGTAAATAGTTTTTTATTGTATTGCATATACTTTACTCTTTTTTGTATTGCTAGGCCATAGATTTATATTTCATCTGAGTGCTAAACATCCAAAATGATATATAGTTATAAAAAATCCGAAAAATTAAAAAACGGGACTAACACCGTATCCTCAGTACTGGTACCACGGTGGAACTGAAGAACCGGTGAAAACACGATATTTCCAAAAAGTTTTCCATATTTTATACTGGGTGACGTGAATAGGACAAACAGAAGAAAAAAAAAATAAATGCCGCCTAACGAAACACAAATACAATGTGTAAATGGCTATATAAATTTGAATTTGGAATTCCCAACCAAGGAGGAGAAATTTGTGATTGAAGTGTACTACAAAACGCCAAGATGGCAAGATGAAAGAAAGAGACACACGGCATCCGTTGTGACTATCTCTCGGCTCGTATTAACTTCTGTACAAAGAACAATAAAAAGTCTACTTTAATAGATAGTGATAAGATTCATTTTTGTAATTACAATTTTGTAACTTATAAGTCGTGTTATTAGTACTAAGTCCATGGTTAAATTACGCAAATGTCTAACGCTAGGAGCCGCATAATGCATTTCCTAAATTTAAGAGTTGCTTAAACTCGTCAGGTAGTTCCTATACTCTATTCATTATAGCATTAGACAGAAGTTAAATAAGGTTCTTTTTATGGTATACTTTGTGACAAAATATCAATAATCATGTTACTTTTAAGACCGACGGCTAATTTGCTACATATCCACTTAAATACCAGCTGCTATACTTAACTGTTGTCATTTAAGCTACCTATTAAACAAATTTATGAGTATATGACTAACTTAAATGATTTAATAACTATTACAATAAAAAGTGTTCATCGTAAAGAACCCAAAGAAGCAGGGTTGGATAGTTTCGGCACGATTCTCATGTCACTATAACTCTACCAAATTTAAAACGTTGCCTAACCCCTTCAAACGTTTCGGTAGTACAGCTTTTTAATTTTGTCAGATTATTATTTATTCATAGTTGTAAAAATCATAATCTGGGATTGTCATCCATTGTGAATACTACTGCCTTTCTTGTTGTTTTGCCGTTTTCCGTGATGTTATTGTTTTATTTTTGTTGTTAAGTTTTGGTAAATATGGAGGATGCCGGTGCACGCCCGAGTGGCCTACAAAAAATACGCTCTAAGAGTTTTTCCAATGTCTTCATCAATAGTCTAACTAATTACACTTACAATTAGAATTTATCAAAACACACAGATAGTTTCAGTTTTAGTTCCATGTTGGCTTGGGACTAAAAGATGAATTTATAAAATGCTGGCTTCATCTCAACCCCGAGGTATTATAAAAAATGGAAAATTGCCCAGCTCTTTCAGACTACCTAACGTTCAAAGTTTTAACAAAACTAATATATATTTTTTAAATTTATCTTGAAAATAAAATGTTCTGCATTGCTGCTTCTATGACCCTCTTTTTTTCTAATGTTATAGGGAATGGAGTATAGTCATCGGTGAAATGAATTTTCACCTTCGACAATGTCTAAATATTTAAACTGACGGCACGCTATGATGGCCGTTTTGACGTTTGTCCGCTCATGAAGTTCCGTATTAATTGATAACGACTTTGAAGGAAATAATTGCATTACTTTATTGACGATAGTGATGTGCAGAGATTCATAAGTTTTATCGAATGTAGTTTTAGGAACCAAAAATTAATTTATTAAATTGATTTCTAAAATGTATACAAGTGTAGAAAAATCAGTTTGAACCATTTAAGGGGTGAATGTACTTGTGAATATGAACAATTTTCACTATGTGGCTACCTCTGAAATCGCAAAAAATATCAGCTGTTTCATACAAAAGGTACAATTTTTATTTATATTATTTGATATATGATTGGTGTACTTATTTATACCACAACTCGGCATTTGGTTTTCTAAATTGAAAATTTTAAAAAATGGAATCTAATACGATCGTCACATAGGATCGCTTGCTAGCACAACTATTACCTCCGGCAAACTCGCGTCAATGCTCAATGCAAAACAAAGCAGTTTCGAATTGACGTTGCTTCGAAAAGTATAAACTGTCAGTGCAATGCGATTGTGATATAGTTTTGACCTGGCTTTGGATTTCAAATATTGATATTGCATTACTGTTGACCCTTGCCCGTTAATTTGGACTCTGTTCAAGCCCTTTGTTGTGGATTTTGTCTATATGACCGAACGTACGCAGAGAACTGTTTTAATTGTCAGACACGTGAGTTCGTAATACGCCTTCGGAACTATTTTGATCGTGAATCTCAAAATGGAGGGCCAATTTTACCTATAACGTCAGTGGTTGAACGCGTAGCTGATGCGCTTGATATTGGACAACGAACTGTTAGACGAATAACTAAAGAAAAATATGGCGAGACTGGCACAGAAGAAAATAAACTTCACACACCAAAAAAGAGAAAACGAGCAAAACTAGTCGTAGGCATCGATAGCTTTGATGCCGATGCTATCCGAAGACATGTTTACGGCTACTATTTACGGAACAAGTATCCAACAAGAAAAAAGTTGGTGCATTCACTGAAGGAAGCTGGATTATTCTTCAGTGGGGAAAGTTCTTTAACGTAGATTTTGAAGACCATAGGATTTCGATACAAAAAATGTAACAAACGCAAAATATTGATGGAAAGATTTGATATAGCGATGGCAAGGTATACTTTTTTACGGCAAGTGAAAGAAATCAAAAATTGGCAAAATGTTGTGTTCTTGGATGAAACATGGCTTAATGCTAACCATACTGTAGGCCGTTCTTGGACCGATGACACAGCAGCATCTACGTCCAAAGTTCCTGTTGGAAAAGGATCGCGACTTATAATTTGTCACGCCGGAACCATCAACGGGTTTGTCGAAGGTTCTCTCATGGCTTTTGCGTCAAAAACCACTGGAGACTATCATGAAGACATGAATGGAGAAAAGTTTACTGAATGGTTTACCTCAATGTTGTGTAGCCTCCCTGAACCATCTATTATAATTATGGACAACGCCCCATACCACTCGATGCAAATTGACAAGCCACCTGCCCAATCCCAAAAGAAAGCTGACATCGTCGCATGGCTTCGTAAAAATGGCGTAGATGCAAACATGAATATGTTAAAAGCGGAATTAGTACGTCTTTTAAAAGAAAACAAACCAACCAAGATCCGATACGTCATTGACGAAATAGCATTAGAACATGGGCACAGAGTTATACGGTTACCGCCTTACCATTGTGAGTATAATGCGATTGAGTTGGGGTGGGCTCAAATTAAGGGATACGCTGCAAGACAAAATACAGAACCCCCATTTACCACAAGAAAAAATGCTAAAATTATTAGAAGAAGCTTGTGAACATGTGACTAAAGGAGACTGGGAAAAGGTTGTGAATAGAACTGTTAAATTAATAAGGGAAGATTATGAAAGAGATGTGAAAATAGATAATATTATAGAAAACGAACTTATAATTAATGTAGGTGATGATAGCAGTGACGACAGTGAAAATAGTAGTATGGACGAATCTGATTAAATATGGCCTTTTGTGGCACTTTTTTTGGTATCTTTTGTATTCATATGTTTCTTGTGTGCATATAAAGTATGTATATTCATTTTCATTCAAATATTCAGTTCGTTCAAATATATTAAATAAACATTTACATTTTTGTTTTATTAAACCTATTTAATCAGGTACAAAAACAAAACTTATTTGTTTTTTGTTCGAGAATAAATTGACATTCCACATCACTATTGTAATATGTCAAAACGGCCATCATAGCGTGCCGCCAGTTTAGGCGTCAGATTTGGGCATAAGTGTCTTAATTTAGTCACGTGATCAACTAATCTAAGTTTTACCATTACGTTTTTTTTACCTTATTTCTTTTCTTCAATTTTATGCGTTTGTTGAAATGGAAATTTGTTGTATTACCGAAAAACTAAAAATACATCATGTGTCATAAAAACAATGCGACATCAGCGCCTCTTACAGAGACTAATGTTACTATTTTAAGATATGATCACTTATACTTGGCTACATCAAGAAGCAGTCATACGATCAACCACCCATAACGCAAATTATTCATTGATAATTATGACCTGGCTACATCGTGACGTGGGTAGCAAGTTTTCCATTTCATGAAATATTACCATTTTATGAAATGGCCGACCGCATCATCTGGCCACGACACATATAATTTTCAACATATCAATTTTGAGTATAAATCTGATATATCTCTCTCTCTTCGTGTTTGGTAATCACAACTAATTGAGTAAAAAACTTGAATCTATAATTTATTGAATTTTAAATTGATCCAAGGACACAAATCTTATTCTTTTTATTTTAATTGGTTGCTCTGGCTTCTCAGATTCGTACCCGAAACGATAAAGTAATAGTGCACATGCCGTTAATGGCGCTATGACAATATCTATGCCGAGTTGTCATATAATTTAGATAAAAATTTATAATTCAAGAGTGTCTGAGCGATACTATTAATATTCAAGTTAATTTAGATTATGAAAATTCGATGGCTAAATATATCAGGATGACTAGTTTGAATTACTCAACATCCCTAAGACATAATATTCTACTGATATAATGGCCATATTATGAAAATCTTGTGCGTTATGCTGTCGACGTCATATAAAGCTCATTGGTCGTTACACAATGGTATGCGACCCAATTTCTATGTCCATCGTGTGTATATTGGAGCGTTAGTTGATTTTCACTGAAACTTCGCTGCACGCGAAGTAGATGTCTAGCGTTGTTTCACTGCCGCTCGCCTCTTGGCGCATTATGAAAATAGTTGTTATCGTTAAATTTATCGACAGGAAAGAAATGTGAAATTTCGATGTCCATTATAATTAGGGAAAACGTTCGAGACTAGCAAACATAATAATATCTCATTTCATAATCGTTGTTTATGTTAAGTCAGAGCGGTTAAGAAACTTTAACGATTACCGGTCGCAATCTAATTACTTGTCCAACGTCCACCTCCATACTGGATTCTAAACCCGGTTAAATGTAAAAATACCTTGACGTACCATAAAAGGGCGCAGAATTCGTCGAAGCTAGTCAGCTTCGACGAATTCTTCGACGAAGTCGCATATACATAGCCTGCGCGACTGCGCATGATAAACTTGCTTTTTTGAGTCTTCGATTGAGTAGAGAGTGAAAACAATATATCTGAAATGAAAAAATGGGATAGAATTCCTTTAATTTAAATGTTTATTGAAATTGCATTAATATTAAATACAAAGTTTAATGTACTTTGATGGTCATTTTTATCGTCAGAAACAAAATTATGTAATTTTTATGTACAAACAATTATGTACTTTCCTGTCTTTTATGATGTGATCGATAAACAAGTTCGTAATTCGATGTAATCTATATATATATAAATGAATCGCAAAATGTGTTGGTAAGCGCATAACTCAACAACGCCTCGACCAATTTGGCCAAATCTTTTTTTAAAATGTTCGTTGAAGTTCAAGGATGGTTTTTACGGCGAGAAAAATTAGAATTATTGCTGGAAAAACCCTAAAAATAGCCCTTTTCTTTTTCCCATACAAATGATTTGTAACTAAAACGTAGTCAATTTGAGCTTTATTGCTATGGTATAAAGTTCATATTAAATTACAAGCACTCACTGTTGTCTAAGCAATGTAGGTGTGTTCCTAACGTCAAAGATCATATCTATCAAAACAATGTGCGTGTGTGCGTTGGAGCACAGAATACATAGTTGGAGGAGTTTAATGTCGCGTTCCGAAACTCGCGTTTCTTTTGTATTAGTTTCGGCACGCGAGATAAAATGCATCAGTTTCCACGTCATTACATGTATTGCCGGAACATTGATGAAAATACGCTCTGTAGTAGCAAAGCTGTTGGGTCCTAGATAGCTCATTGGTTAGAGCAGTCCCTGGATCACGAATGGGTTCGAGTCCCATTCCGGGGTACAGGTAGATGGATTCTTCCAGCATTTTTCCTTGAGAATGTTTATATATTTTTTTAATTCGAATAGTTTACTTTTATAATGCTGTTGTGTGTAATGTGTTTTTATGATCATAAAAATCTATTTTTCTATATTTAATACTATTACTATTAATACATTGCAATAATAATTATGATTCACATGATTAACAATAAAGCGATTACTTACTTTTAAATCCTTATATATGTTTTATTTAATTATTTTTTATTCACAACGCCCTATCACCAGGGTGACGGTTCTGTTCAGGAGAATTTTTTTTAAATACGTAGGCAAAAAAACTGCCACATTACAAATCTTTTTGACAGGACGAAGTCTGTCGGGTCAGCTAGTAGTATATATTTTTAAACATTTTTCAATATTTTGTTTTGTCCCATGATAGTGTTAAGTACCGAGCGTGCAAGCTACAAAATTTCCATTGTCGCGGAACGAGCTTTAGCCAACTTTAGTGGCAGTTGTTAGCCTTATAATTCAACACTGACGGCTTTAATCTCGGTAACGTGACGCTTTAATAATACGTCATGGTTCTATGGATGTCTGGTATTAATTATTATAAGTATATATCTACTTCGATATTGAGGGGCCGCTTTAAAAAAAGATATTAAAATTGTGGACTGGTAGGGTGGTTAGGCTCCATATTAAAATATTTTAACCCCATTCAAAACTTGTTTGTTTATTTATATCTAGCCAATAGGCTCCCTGCCTATTAAGTACATCGAATGAACAGTTTCGTATTGAAAGCATAAAAGCATTTTAAAATTCAGCTCTCTGTTTGATCTTAATTCCATCAGGGGTGCAAACAAAAACCCCATGTTATGTTTATTAGCTCTGTATTTGGCTATAGTGTTCTATATATTTATAGATTGAGTAGGTAACTGAATATTACAGAGGGTCAGTGTTACTTAAAGAGAGGAATAATATTTATTACGTGTATATTGAAATCTGATCATGATCATATGGTTATTAAATTAAACAGAACAGATCAGTGATTTAAGGCCAGTTTTTTTATCCGTAGTCAAAAATCATTTCACCATTTTTTAACTTGACTATAGTTAAAACATTAACCAGTTGTTAAACTGTTATTTCGTTTTTTGATGCCAAATTAAACCATAGCCAAATTTAACCACTGGTTAATTTGTTGCCAGCACAATGAGTCGTTCTTTTGCTATACATTGACATGGATATTTTTTTCTGGGTGACAACACTTACGGTTTGAATGAACGGAGCGAACTAAACACCATTCTTGACATTAGGATTTTGTTCCAAATATCAAATAGACAAGAGAAATCTATAGTTTACCTAACAGTGTGGTTATTTATGGTTGTTGTGTTGTATGCACTATGTGTTATTTTTAGGGAAACAAGGCAATTTCTTTAATAATGTTAGAAAGCTACAAAGATAAAAAAATGAGTTATTTTAGACTTGACTTTTTTATAAAAATCATATATTTGGTTTTTATTTATCTTATGGAGAAATACGTGAAAATAATATAGCATCTAGTATCCTAGGTGGGATTGTAATATATATTTTAAATACTGTAGGCATATTTATTTTTTGTATTGTCTATTCGTGGATTTTATAAGATTTTTAATAATTTTATATTTTGGCATAAGC